GCGGGCTGCACTGGGCGCGGGCTGTGCGCGGGGGCGGTGATGCAGACACGGTGAGAAGACTCAAGAACGCAGCGAGTCGCGCATGGCATGCACGAAGGAGGCTAAGTCGCCGTGCCGGCGAGGAGCGATACGGGGACGAACACGCGCGCGATACTCTCGGGGAGGAGCGCGGGGTTGAACGCGCAGGCGACGGGGTGTACGCGTGTACTTGCCTAGGCGCGCGAGGATTAGGCGAGCTGTTGGACGCGTGCGCGGGAATGGAAGATGAAGCCCTAGTCCTTGGGCGATTAAGCAACGTGGACGCGGGGCATGGCGGCTTGAGACGCAAGCAAGAAATATTCTAGATAGCTTGGTTAATATTTTATTTCCTTCTTTTCTAGTTTGTTTAGGACACTTAATATTTTTATTGCTTTCCTAGAGTAAGTAGTTTAGTCTAAGTAGATTAGGACTAGACCTTTATTTTGAGCCTTATAAATAGGCGTGCCTTGTTCTAAAATAATCATCATTGATTCTTGTTAATACAAAAACCGAACTTTGTTCAAATCTCTTGCTTTAGTTTACGTTAAGTGTTCTATTGCAAATTATCTTTCGAAGGAGCGCGAGTGTGTGAACCTCCGAGCACAGTATCGACGATTTAAGGCGCGGGAGCGGCTTGTCGGCAATCGAGACACACGATCTTCATCATTGGTGCTTTCATTGAGAGGGTCGATCGTGTGTCTTTCCTTCCCATTCTACTTTAATTTTTCTTTTTAAATTTTCGTTCAATCGTCAAAAGCCAAAAAAAAAAAAAAAAAAAATTAGTCCGGGAAGTCGAGAACGTAGGCAAGCCAGAAAATATATGGCCAATCGAGAGTTGAATAAAAAGGTTGAAGGTTTGGAAGGCCAATTCAAGGCCATAAGCGAGAGCATGGAGGATCGGTTTGGATCGCTCGACGAGGGACAGATCAGCACCAATGCTGTCGTGGCTCGCTTCGAGCAGCGCCTGGAGGAGGTGTTGCGCGTGTTCCAGCGACTGCAGCAGGAGCGACCACGGGTGAACGCACGCGAGCATCTAAGGCAACAGGAGCAGCAGCGGGCTGAGCACAACCCCGAGGAGGAGGGAGAATACAAACAGCGGTCGCAGGTGTCGAACGTACAAGAGCGAGCCCGCGTTGAGAAGCCAAGGATCGTGCTCTCGACGTTCATAGAAACCAACCCCGACGCTTGGCGGAAGAGGGCGGTGCAATTCTTCGACTTAAATGAGATGCCGCAACGTGACTGGGTTCGGTATGCCGTGTACTATTTAGATGGTGCGGCCAACGTGTGGTGGCAGTGGCTCACACGCGTGTATCGCGGGCAACAACAACCAATCCGTTGGGAAGATTCTGAACGCGAGCTCCTTACGCGCTTTGGGAACTCAGACTATCATAACTACGACGAGGCGCTGACTCGGATCCGGCAGACGGGGAGTGTACGTGACTACCAAAAGGAGTTCGAGAGATTGGCGTGCCGAGTTTGCGGGTGGCCGGAGTGCGCGCTTGTTGGCGCATTTGTTGGAGGGCTTAGGTATGATCTCACGGCCGAAGTGCGATTGGAGAGGTCGGAGACCATGCATTAGGCCATGGAGGTTGCTAGGAGACGGGAGGATCACTTGGCCGCGACGCGAAGGGGACGGGCAGATTTTCGTGTCCTGGAGCCGCGGCGTGTGCCAGCGACCGTGGGCGCACCTAGTGCGAACGCGAGGCCGCCGAGCACCTTTAGGCCACCAGCTACCAAGGTAAAGAGGTTGACGAAGGAGGAGATGGCGCGGAGACGTGAGAAGGGGCTGTGTTTCCGATGCGAGGAAAAGTACACGCCGGGACATCGGTGCAAGCAGAATTTCTTGATCGAGTTCATGGACTCGGATGACGAGGAGTCGGTGATCGAGGAAGAACGGAAGGTGGAGGTCGAGGTTCTCAATGACAAGGCCGAGATCTCAGTCCATGCGATGGCGCGCACTAAAGGCCCGAGGACTATGAAGTTACTCGTGGTTGAAGGATCGGCGGGTTACGGTACTCGTGGACAATGGGTCGTCGCACAATTTCATTAATGCGACTCTCTCGCACAAACTCAAGTTGCCCACAACCACGATTGAGCCGTTCGAGGTTAGGGTGGCGAATGGCGAGCGCTTGTGGTGCTCGGAGATGTACCGGGGCGTGCTGATCAAGTTTCAAGGAGTGACGGTGAAGGCGGATTTGTTTGCCTTACCTTTGGTGGAGCCGGATGTGGTGCTTGGGGTGCAGTGGCTCGAGGGACTAGGAGATGTGACGACTAATTACCAGAAGGGTGTGATGAAGTTCGAGGCCGGTGATCAGCTCGTTACTTTGAAGGCTAGTGAAGGGGCAACCAAGGAGGTTGGTCTAAAAAGCATCGAGAAGGTGTGGCGAGGTGGCGGATAGTTGTACGCTGTCGTGGTTGAGCAGACAGGCAAGGACGCGGAGGTGGTCGAGGAGAGGCAGCGCGAGGTGCGTAACTTGCTCGAGGAGTTCGACCAGGTCCTCGACGAGCCCAAGGGATTGCCGCCGCACCGGGAGTTCGACCACCGCATACCTTTGGTCGAGGAGGGTCGAGCAGTGCACGTGCATCCTATAGGTACGCGCATTTTCAGAAGGCGGAGATCGAGCGGCAGGTGGGCGAGATGCTCGAGTCCGGACTCATCCAGCATAGCACGAGCCCGTTCTCGTCACCGGTGCTGCTCGTGAAGAAGAAGGATGGTACGTGGCGGTTCTGCACGGACTACCGCGCCTTCAATGCGGCTACCGTGAAGGATCGTTTTCCCATTCCAAGCGTCGACGACATGCTGGACGAGTTGGGTGGCGCGCGCTACTTCTCCAAGCTCGACTTGCACGCGGGCTACCATCAGATCAGATTGGCCAAGGAGGACGTGCCCAAGATGGCTTTTCGCACGCACCAAGGGCACTACGAGTATCTCGTGATTCCTTTTGGTTTGTGCAATGCGCTGTCGACATTTCAGTTTGCGATGATTTCAATCTTCAAGGAGTCCCTTCGCAAATTTGTGTTGGTATGCTTTGATGACATCTTGGTGTATTCGAGGACTTGGGTGGATCATCTTGGGCACTTGCGGGTTGTTTTGGGGATCTTGGAGGCTAACTCATTCTACATCAAGCCGTCCAAGTGTTCGTTTGCTCAAGAGGTGGTCGAGTACCTTGGGCACTTTATTTCTCATGATGGTGCCAAGGTGGATCTAAGGAATATTGAGGCGATGGTGGGTTGGCCGAAACCCACGAGCTTGACGCAGTTGCGAGGGTTCCTTGGTCTCACGGGCTATTATCGGAAATTCGTAAAGGACTATGGGACCATTGCGAAGCCACTCACGGAGATGACGAAGAAGGGAGCATTCAAGTGGACGGAGGCGAGCGAGAAGGCTTTCGAGGAGCTGAACGAGGCTATGACGACCACACCCGTTCTCGCGATGCCGAGGTTTGATGTATTGTTCGAGATTCACTCGGATGCAAGCGACATTGGGATCGGGGCGGTTCTAGTATAGGAAGGACAACCCTTGGCTTATCTCAGCAAGGCTCTCGGGCCGGCGAGCTTAGGGTTGTCCACGTACGTGAGGGAGATGTTGGCCGTGGTCGAGGCCGTGCGCGTGTGGAGGCCGTACTTGCTTGGGCGACGCTTTCAGATTCACGGACCAGCAACCACTCAAGCACTTGCTCGAGCAAAGGATCGTGACGCCCGAGCAGCAGAAGTTCGTATCCAAGTTGATGGGATTCGACTTCGAGATAGTGTATCGGCCCGGTCGCCAGAACACCGTGGCCGACGCATTGTCTCGCCGGGTAGACGTGGCCGAGTTCGACGCAGTGACGGGGCCGACGTGGGTCATTTGGGCCGAGCTTCAGAAGGCGCAAGATGAGGATGCGCATTGCCGGGACGTGATCGAGAAGCTGAACGTGGGACACGACGAGGACGAGGACCATGACATGCACGATGGCTTGCTCATTTACCGTGGGCGAGTCGTCGTGCCCAAGACAAGATCGTTGCGCAAGGAATCATCCGGCACTTCCACGACTCGAAGTTTGAAGGGCACTCAGGGGTGTTCCGGACATGGATGAGGATTGCGAGCACTTTTTATTGGCCGAGGCTGAGGGGCGATGTGCGCGACTACGTTGGGCAATGTGATGAGTGCCAACGCACTAAGGCGGATGCGCGTCGACCGGGCGGGCTGCTCCAACCTTTGCCGGTTCCCACACGTATTTGGGAGGACATCACCATGGATTTTATCGAGGGGTTGCCACTCTCGAATGGGTTCAATGGAGTCATGGTGGCAGTCGACCGCCTTACAAAGTATGCGCATTTTATTCCACTTACTCATCCATGCACGGCTAAGTCTATAGCAAAATTGTTTGTTGAATATGTGATGAAATTGCATGTGGTGCCACGGCCAATTGTGTCCGACCGAGATCGGATATTTATGAGTCGCTTTTGGTCGGAGTTCTTTAAATTGCAGGGAACCGAGCTAAGCATGAGCTTGGCTTATCATCCATAAACCGACGGACAGACAGAGGTGACCAATCGCACACTCGAGCAGTACCTTAGGTGCTATGTGCATCAGTTTCCAAATCGGTGGGAGAATTATTTACCTTGGGCCAAGTATTGGTATAACACCACTTATCATAGCTCGACTAAGGCGACGCCGTTCGAGTTGGTGTACGGACGTAAACCGCCGACGATTGTAAGTTACTAGATGGGGAGCGCCGTGAACGATGAGGTCGATCGAGAGTTGGTCGAGCGCGACTTGACGTTGCGCGAGCTAAAGCGGACGTTGGAGGGCTCGATCAATAGGATGAAGGCGTACCATGATGGCAAGCGGCGTGACATGGAGTTCGAGCCC